CCATAGATTCTAGAACACAGTAAGTGAATGAGATTTCTCTTACAACCAAGAGGTACCCAGGTGTAAAAGTTAGTGAACTGACCGGACCAAGTTGGTTTTCGATAGACTGACCTTTGTATAAAGCCATCATCCCTTCTCTTTAACCTTACGTCTAGAAAGTGGAACGATGAGTTTAACTCTTCTTCTACAGTGAATTTAATGGGCGGGTGACAATCATTGAAGCGTCTTAACAGCTCGTCCACTGAACAAGTTTCGTCGCAAATAAGAAAAGTGTCATCCATGTACCTTTTTTACAAATAAAGTTCCGAAATTATTTCTTTAAGCAGCCCGTTTTCCAGCTTTGCCTTAAAGATAACTGCCAGAACAGGGCTTAGTAGAGACCCCATTGCAACACCGTCAGTCTGATCATTGAAACTATACTGTATGTTAAACGTACATCTCAATATTAGTTCTTTTAGGTGGCTCGTAGGTAATCCAATGTTAGTATTATTAGAATCAATGTAATCACATAGATAACAAACGGTTTCAACAAGTAGAACATTGGTAAATAGAGAACAAACATCAAGCTATATCATGCGCTTACCCATTACGTTGATATTTCCTATGCAGTGAACAAAACCAAATGTGTCGGGAAGACTATACTTGCATAGATTTAATCTCACCGGTTCAAGCATTTTTACAAGCCACTTTGCTAATGAGTGATAAGGTGAATTAAGCATATCAAGTACTGTACGAAGTGGAAGACCATCTTCATGCACCTTCGGCAGACCATATAAACGGGGCATGTTTGAACCAGATGGTCTAAGCTGCTCATACATATCTGGGGTAATTAAAGATTCTTCTTTCAATTTTCTTAAGATTTTCGATATTTGATTTTTAACATCTTCTGTTCTATCCTTCTGATCTCTGAATTTTAGAAATTTATTGTCATCGCTGAGAATTAGGCATAGTTTATCAATATAATCCGCCCGATCCAAAACCACAATACCCGATCCTTTGTCTGGGCGTACAATTATAATATCCTTGTTGTTTAGTAGTTTTTTCAATTGTGCTTTGTGCTCTTTAAAAACAATACCTCGTTGTCAGCATGGTGTTTTCAAATATTGATAGCAGCAATGTAATAATGTGGATTTGAAACGTTCGAAGCTTTCGGTGGACGTCGGGATTAATTCTGTAGTCTGGCTGATAAGATTTTCAAATTGCACTTTTGTGTCAAGTTCTCTGGTTTTAGATGAAGAACAACAAAACTTTGGTCTCAAAGACAAAATCTGTAACTGAATGTTTGACAGAGTTATGCTGGAGTGGTTAAACACGTATCTCTCTGGTGCATCTAGAAAATTGTCTTGTGACTCAGCAGTTTTAAAACTTTTCAGTAATTTGGTTCTTACAACTTCACATCTCTTCTTTATCACATCTGATACATAAGATTCAAATGGATCCCGCTCTTCACTTGTTGGCTCGAAAACAAAATGCTGTCGCTAGGAAATATTTCTTTCCAGTTCAGGAAGGCGTATACGGATGCCATCAATTAGATTAAGAGCATGTCGCTTCAACGTGCGACCATTAGGATAAATACAATTATAACGCAAAGCTTTCCAAAAATATTTTGGGTATTCATGTTTCGCAATACAACTGTTTAGTATATCGACCTTCGCATTCGCTTGCATGTGGACACTCAGCACCTCGAGATTCATCCTTCAAAATAATTTACAAAGTTAAATTGAACTACTCCAAAGGTTTACGCTTCCACCACTTATGCACAACTGAAGCATTAGCTATACATGAACAAAAACCGAAACTTTGCATTCAAAAACGTTTTTTGAAACCACTTTCTCTACCTTGACCTTAACAATTCATTTTGTTGATTCTGTCAATTTCAGTTCACTTCACTTTGGTATACTTCTCTTCTATTATCACCAATTTTCACTTCATTGACAACACTTGAACCATATTTCACTCTTTAATATCAATTCATTCCTTAATCACTGACCTATTGTACACGTTTCAGCTTAATTATCACCGTTTTACAATTCTTTGACAGCACTTGTCGCTTATCTCACCACTTGTTATCAATTCGTTCCTCTTTATTCAGTGACCCATTTTCTATCTCTTCCACTTGAACAGATGCCACCACCCATCCACCGATTGTATATTTTGCATATTGACTGAGCAACTTTTTAGTGCAATTATGTGTTACTTTCCTCAGTATAAATATGACTGTACAGCTTGATAATGAAGTTGTTGAAAAGAAATATTTCTTCTCTGATATATGCCTTGTTCTTTTCTGAATGCCGGAAATGATCAGTCGGTTAGCAGACAATCGAGTTTTTTAAATACCTGAAATAAGTTGAGAATATTTGAAACCTTAGGCGATCAAACTGTCAGGTCATCAACTGGTTCTTGAAATGTTTCAAAATTAATTTTACTGGATATGCAGCTGTCTGTGATTTTGTCTACCTTGCATTCTTATTCTGTGACTCTAAATGCTTTGATTGCTACTAAGTCAGATCAGTCATACTTGTGCAGATGAGTATAATTTCGTTCCTTCAATGATAACTTTCACCAGCTTTGAGATATAGTATTTTTCTGCAACGATTTATTTATTTAAATCACTTTTTGGTTTTGTCTTTTATTTACGGTGCCGACAAATTTTGTCAAGTATTGATAAAGGTTTTATTTACTAACATCCAACTTGAAAAAATTGAACATTTCGTTGTCTTAATAACTACTCACCCACACCAAGTAAGAACTTTCTAACATATCAATTTCATGTGTTTCAACAAACACTGCGTAACTGAGGTTCCTTGGAATATTACCAATAGATTCAAGAATTTTCCATAATAGAGAAAACGAAGACTAAGGTTAAGTAAATGATGTCTTTATACACTGCTGCTATGTGGTTCAGAAACTTGGCGTGTCACGAAAAGCATTTACGACAACTGCAGACTTTCATCAACAGCTGCCACCTACGCTCATTAAATACTGAAGATCGATCAGATGGCCAGAATAATAAGAATAAGCAATAAGGAACTCTGGCCTGCTAACGAACCAAACAAGAACCTATCACCCAACAAATATGCAGAGGAAAGTGAAGATAGTTGGGCGTGCACCGAGAAAGCCATTGGGAGACATCACGCGTCAGTTCCTCGAGTGAAATTCAAAGGGGAAACGGTGAGTTGGGCGTCCGAGATGACGGTGACATGGAGGAAATCATATGAGGGAGAAATGAAAGCATGTGGGCAGTCGTGGAGTGAGGTTGAATAGACTTCAGAGAACAGAGTGGAGTGGCGACTTGCTACTGAATCCCTTTGTTCCACTAGGAACCCAAAAGAAAAATAATAATAATAACAAAATAACGCACTCTATACAGACAGAAAAATAAATAAATCGATGTAGGATCTGGTATAACAGTGCGTCAGTTCAAATTATCATACTTCCAGGCAGCATGCAAAGGACTGGTGAATCAGAAAGAGTGATAACGTAGAAGAGGTGCGTGAGGCGATAAAATAAACAGATAAAGCTTTATGACAATAGTGATGATCCTAAAAGTGATAAAAAGTGCATGCATCTCCGGCATTGTGGCCAATTCGGGGCTATAACACCAAAAGTCACCTTCAGTGGATTCTTATGATCTCGATGCTTCCAATAGGAGAGTCTACTCCTCTTAATACAGCTAGGATAGACATTAAAAAGTTTCAAGAACTACTGTCAGTTCTCGGTTGGACAACCCTTAAACTTCTCTAAGCCTAATTTTACTTCCGCTGATGTTGTCTTGGCTTGTGCAACAAGTATCTAAGAAGGTTCACAGATTCATCTACTGACTTACCCTCTTTGTCTAGTACTCTGTTCCTAACATTAAAAGTGTTTACATGGTGATTTCACTATACGTCAGAAGTGCTGCGAAGACACCTATAGTCAAGACTTGTGATCGCTTTATATCTTCTAATTTCAGATGTCAGGTTTTACAGTGGTATAATAGGACACTGAACTGTAGCAATTCACCCCAACTACTAAATTCAGTTCTATTAGTTAAGCGCCTTACCCTTCGTAATAAAAACTGTCTTCGAACTAATTTTTTTCCATAATCCAACTGAATGAACAGTAATGACAGACTTTTCTCTCTCTCGTTTGTCTCTAGTCTCGGTAAACTTAAAACAAAATGTTAATGGAATAACCAGATTTCCTTTGATGTAGTCGGATTGAGAAAAACCAAGCGTAAACAGAAGGCCTAAACTAACCGGTTACCAGTCGGTAACCTAGGTACCTATCTAGCTTAGAGTCGGTCTCAAGTCAAAATATACGCCACTGTTCTTTATGCCATACAGCTCAGTGCTCCATTTGCAAATTTGATCGGCTGACTGCAATCAGTTCTGAATACTAAGCATAAACAGCTGAATTGGCTGTTTGCTGATGTTCAATTCGTATATTTGATACATTACTACAGGAAGTCTGTCATGATGTGAATAACCTCTTAATAAAGTCATTTACTTCTGTTCTGCTTCATAGGAATTCAAATCATTGAGAGAACATTAGCTTCTTCATGTTAATTGGTACGCTTCATTGATGACTGTCCACAACCATAAAACCTTGAGTTAAGGCTTTCTGTCGGTTGACCATCTTCATGAAAGAACAACAACAAATAAGCAATTACACTGAGCAACTTGACTAATCACTTATATGAATTAACTTCCGATAATTCAGTGATCATTTCATACCCACAACATACAATGTAATCATTAAGTATGAGAATACGTTTTACCCCTTGATTTGTTTATTGATCAAAAGCTAATTAAGGTTTATAATTTACATAATTGTTCACATTTTTGCTTGAAATTATTGGGGGACAATATTTGGGCTAGTTTACCTAAACTTTACTGACTAATGAGAAGAAAACTTCATCCATTTGTTTAGGTGAATAGAGTGTCTTCTTGTGTATGTGTGTGTTCGCTTGATTTAGCAATTCGCTAACCAGACTATCCCTAGCCCCACCTTCAACATGTTTATAAATAGAAATGTGACATTTGTCTATTGATATCATCAATGGATAATTCACCGTAACGCCCTGGATTCGACTGAATTAAATGATATAATTTATTCAACTGTTTTTGACGTATTTCATTCTCTTCAGTTTGTTCATCGATTGATAAGCTTTTAAATTGCTTATTTAAGCGTAGTTTCTTTAAACTACTAAATGAATTTGAGTAGTTCACTTCACTTTCATTCATTTGAAGGGCGTCATCCATGTGAACATTATTGTTTTCTTCAAACTTGTTAGTGCTTTCCTGTTTACCATTTGTTATTCTTTCTTGCTCAAGAACTGTGTCATTTGAAAGTAGATTATCTTAGTCAAACAAAAAAAGAATCAAATGAATAATGAATAATTTTTAACTGAGTGATTTGTGAAGAATTAATTTAATTATTCATAAATTTCATGACGTACTGATATCAGTAAAAGAAATATTAAAAATTAACAAGCACTAGATTGTAAGTGTTTACTAATGAACATCCAAGAAGTCACAGACATTTCCGATAGATGTCCCAGCTGATATGAGATCATGATCAGACTTTAAATAGCGAGCTTGATTATTGATAACCTCGCCTGGTTAACTAGTTTACTAGTTACTAGCCGGTCCTAAGCCCGGGTAAAGAGGGAAGGTTGGGCATAGGGCTAGCAACCCTACCCCGTAAAACAAATCTAACCGCTAAAGAAACTTCAAAGCACAAACAAAATATAAAAAATGAAAACAAACTTATTCCCCGCTGGAATCGGAGAGGCGAAATGACGCCAGTTGGTGAAAGCCTTCGGGAAGCCAATTGGCCGATGTGTCTTCTCTCGATGAAAGCGAAAGTAAACGTGGGGACATGGAATGTCCGCACGATGTTTGAACCCAGTAAGGCAGCCCAGATTGCAAAGGAGATGAGAAGGTATCACATCGAAGTGCTTGGGATTTGCGAAAGCAGATGGAATGGGAGTGGACTCTCCAAACTGTCAACTGGAGAATCAATAATCTACTCCGATATTGTCACCCAGACGACAACCACGAGCACACTGAGGGAGTGGCTATCATGATGTCCTCAAGAGCATCGAAGGCTCTCATGCAGTGGGAACCAATCTCCTCCAGGATCATGACAGCAAGATTCAACTCAAAAGGAAGAAAGGTCACAATCATACAATGTTATGCACCTACAAATAATGCAGAGCAAGAGAAAAAGGAGGAATTCTACAGACAACTTCAATCAACACTGGACAAGACGTCAGTTGGTGATATCAAAATTCTGATGGGCGACATGAATGCCAAAGTGGGAGGGGACAACACGGGAAGAGAACTAACCATGGGTCGAGAGGCGCTAGGTGAAATGAATGAGAATGGAGAATTGTTTGCAGAATTCTGTGCATTCAACGATTTGGTGATTGGAGGCAGTGTGTTCAGGCACAAAGATATCCACAAAGCGACATGGATTTCACCAGATGGACACACTAAAAATCAAATCGACTTTATCTCAATCTCAAGAAAATGGAGACGCAGTCTACTTAACACAAGGTCAAGAAGAGGAGCAGATGTAGGTTCACACCACTCACTCTCTAGTACAAGGAACCTTCCAAATCAAGTTAAAAGCCTTCAAGGAAGCTGGTGATAGACCTCAATTCAAATACAACACTCGGAAACTGAAGGACGAAACTACAAAGGAGATCTTCACGTCAGTCAGCCATCAAGACAAAATGGGAGACATCGAGCAACATCCCTGAAGAAAGCTGTGTGGAAGAACACTGGAAGTCTTTGAAAGCTATGTGGAAAGAAACCTGCACAGCCGTATTAGGAAGGAAGAAGAAAGAAGACAAGGAATGGATCTCGACGGATACCTGGAAGCTGATAGAGGAGAGGAGGATGGTGAAGCAGAAGATAAACCAGTGCAAGGATGCACAATGAGAAGAGGAACTGAGTACAATGTATAAAACACTACACTGTACAAGGAAGTGAAGAAGAGTGTGTGGAAAGACAAAAGACACTTCTACGACACACTGGCAAGTGAAGCAGAACAGGCTGCAGGTAGTAGAGACAGAGACCTGACAACATTGTATCAAATAACCAGGTTACAGTCTATCTGGGAGTGAGAGACCAACACACATGAAACCAATAAAAGATGATGACGGAAATTTAATTAGGAGAGAAGAGAAACAGAGGAAACGATGGGCCCACCACTTCAAGAAGCTCTTGAATCGACCACCACCTGCACTTCGTCCAGAAATACCACCTGCAGCCGCTGAATTACAAGTAAACATAAATCCCCCAACGAAAATGGAAGTCCTGAACGCCATAAAGCTACTGAAATGCGGGAAAGCAGCAGGACCAGATGGAATACCGCCAGAAGCACTGAGAACAGATGCAGAGACAACAGCGGACATGCTCACACCACACCACTATTGCAGAAGGTGTGGAAGGAAGAGAAGGTACCTGTCCATTGATTGGAAGAAGGGTTACCTTGTCAAACACTCGAAGAAGGGAGACCTCAGTGCTTGCAAGAACTGGCGCGGAATCACTCTCCTGTCCACCCCAAGTAAAATATTAAGCCGCATCATCCTGGAGAGGCTAAAGGATGCACTGGATTCAAAACTGCGACCGGAACAGGCAGGCTTTAGGAAGTACAAATCATGTGCAGACCAAATTGCAACGCTTCGTATCATCATAGAACAGAGCATAGAATGGCAATCAGCTCTCTACCTCAACTTCATCGACTTTGAGAAGGCCTTTGACAGCGTCGACCGAGAAGTAATTTGGAAACTGCTTCAATACTACGGAGTACCGCAAACCTTTATCCGCCTCATTCAACAACTATATGAAGATGCCACATGCCAAGTAATCCACAATGGGAAGCTCAGTGATGCCTTTGAAGTGAAGACAGGAGTGAAACAAGGTTGTCTACTATCCCCCATGATATTCCTTATTGTGGTGGACTGGATCATGCAGCAAACAGTGGGGAGCGAGAAGAGGGAGATACACTGGACTGCGGAAAAGAACCTAGAAGATTTGGATTTGGTCGATGACTTGTGTCTGATGTCACATAAACTTGAAGATCTGCAGGCAAAAACTAACAAGTTGATAGAAGAGGCAGCTAAGACGGGACTTCAGGTGAATATAGAGAAGACAGAAGTGATGAAGATACCGCACCACCACCATCAACAACAACAACAAACTCCAATCACCATCAACGGGAGAAACTTAAAGGAAGTAACCTCCTTCACTTATCTAGGAAGCACTGTTTCAACTACAGGCGGGACGGACGAGGACGTCAAAGTCAGTATCGGAAAAGCAAGACAGGCGTTCATTAGCCTGAAACCAATGTGGAGATCTTCTGCACTCAGCATGTGGAACAAGATACGGATTTTCAACACCAACGTCAAGTCAGTGCTCTTGTATGGCTCAGAGACTTGGCGTGTCACGAAAGGCATTTCCAATAAACTACAGACATTCATCAACAACTGCTTACGCTCGCTACTGAAGATCAGATGGCCAGAAAAAATAAGCAACAAGGAACTCTGGGAACGAACCAACCAAGAACCTATCACGCAACAAATATGCAGGAAGAAGTGGAGATGGATTGGCCATGCACTGAGAAGGCCGACTGAGGACATCACGCGTCAGGCCCTCGAGTGGAATCCCCATGTGAAGCGACGAGTTGGACGTCCGAGGGTGACATGGAGGAGGTCGTGCGAGGAGGAAATGAGAGGTTGTCGGCTGTCGTGGGACCAGGTTCAAAAGATCTCAGAGAAGAGAGGTCACTGGAGGCGTGCTACTGAAGCCCTATGTTCCACTAGGAACCCAAGGGACTAATAATAATAATAATAAATTGATTATTGATATAAATACGGAAATCAATCGTGAAAGATTAGTAATATAGAAATGGAGATGTACATATCATAAGCCAACTGGCTGAAGTTGAAAGGATTTATGGTTTGGAAACAGACTCCATTTATCAGTCACTTCATAGACTATAGAGTAGTTAATCCAAATGTTATAAGTTCGAAACAACTTCAGTTACAGTCTTCACGAAAGTAATTAAACAATATTCAAATTAATTGAAACTGACAACGAACCAACCAAGAACCTATCACTCAACAAATATGCAGAAGGAAGTGGAGATGGATTGGGCATGCACTGAGGAGACTATTTGGGGACATCACGCGCAAGGTCAGGCACTCGAGTGGAACCCAGATGGAAAATGACGAGTGGGGTGTGGGAGGCGAAGGCGACATGGAGAAGATGGTATGAGGAAGAAATAAGAGTTTGTGGGCAGTCTTGGAGCCAGGTTCAAAAGTTTGCAGAGAACAGAGTGGAATGGAGATGTGCTACTGAATCCCTATGTTCCGCTAGGAACCCAAGAGACATATAATAATGATAATAATAATAATAATAATAATACTGATTGATCACTGCAGAGAGCAACCAATCTCATGTTATTTAGTCTTGAGTGCTGACAGAATTCTATAGATCATTTTGCGATATGGCTAACATACTATGAGACTTACCATCACGGTGGACTTTCCTGGATGTTATTTGGCTAGAGGAAATCTTCAGGAGACCCTGGACCTGGGGTTTCCACTTTTTGGCACTCGTTATCAGGGTGTATCTGTAGCCTCGACAAAGTGTATGTCCCACCTGAAATTCGAACACACGTTGCCCAGAGTTACGGTCAGCGGCGTTACCACTCAGTTATTCGGGCCAAAATTCACCCCCCCCCCTGTAAGACTGGATTGCAAATATATGTAAGTTCGAATCTCACAGAGGGCATCATTTCCGTAGACATTGCAGATATGCTTTTCTGAAGAGTGCCGATAAGCACGAAATCTAGGTCGAGGGCTTCTTACTGATTGCCACCAACCAACTGATTTAACCATCATGTGAAACTGCAGTTATCTTTTTTCAGCAAGAATATTATGAAACAAACCGAAAAGGCTTTTTCGAAAAGATAAACGACAGTGGGAGCAGGATGAAAGAAGTCGCTTTTGTGTAGTTTTATTGAATAGTTAACGAAGTTTAATCCACTCAGAGAAAATGGAGTATCGGTCATTAGTTAAAATGGACAGAAACAGTCATAGTATAGTGGTAAACCACAGTGGCGAATCCAAAGAAGTTTAATAGATTTTTTATAAATTTTCACAATGATATGGATTATTCAACGGAAGTTGCTCGAATAAACCTAACAACACTGATAGCACCTAAACATTCGATAAGTTAATGTGCAAAGCTATTTGACGCAATAGCTATCAAACGCCTTAAACCTGATTTACATGTTCCCAAAGGAAGCCATAGTCAACTACCGTTTATCTTAGTAACTATTTCC